GGGGGGGAAGCGTGAAGGAAGAAGGGAAGAGGCACACGGGCAGGCGGCTGTTGCTGCGCAGGCGCACTTGGGCGGACCCTGGGACGGGGCGCGGGGTCTAGCGGAGGCTCACCCGTCGGGGCGGAGAGAGAAGCCAGGGTCGACGCGAGGCCGTTCGGTCGCGGGTTTCGCCTCTAGTCCCTTACCTTATTCTCGCGCGGCGCCGGCAACGACCTCAGGCCCCGCCCCCATCCTGTCTGCCAATGGCTGGCGCCGCCTGAAGACTGGGGTTCAAAAACTCTTCGGATTGGAAATTGGTACTCCAATAAGAAGCCGAGAGTCTCGAAGTTGGAACCGGCATTGGAGCTCCGAGTTACCCGAGTCTGCGACGCTAAGGCGGAGCTCCAGATGCGGCCAGTCAGCACACGGCATCTGCTAGGGACAGCAGAGGGCAGAGCTTGTTGACTAGTGTGGTTGGGGGGCCTGGGACGGGACCCGGAAGTTGTTTATCGGGAAGCGTGATCGCTGGGTGGCGGAGACGCAGGACTCCCTGCTCTTCTGATTCCCGGGTTTGGGCACGGCCCCTCAGTCTCCTCCCAGCATCCCAATCTGAATTCGGCTTTTAATATGAGCAGCCTGGTCCAAAGCACCTGCCTTGAGGGGCAGACTCCAGCCCTTAAAACGTTCGGAACACGCAGCTTGACCCACTAGGCGGGACAGTTAGTGCGGACTTAGACGAGCCATGGCCCGTCAGCCAGAAGAGGCTTCCTTGTCCTGTGGCTTGCCCCGACTCCTCTTGAATACCCCCCAAGCCCTAGTGCTCACCATCTGAGGTGAGCATACATTTTCCCAGTCTTCTGCTATCTCCTCCCAAAGGCCTTGGGGAGTATCACCCTCCGTTCTAAGTCTACCAGTTGTAAGATTCTATCAGGAGCGACTTACTTCATAAGCCTTTTCAGTGCACAGTTCGACCCTGGCATTCATTTACTCATTCAACAAACACTTGTTGAGTGTCTAAGCGCAAGACTAACAACAATAGGGGAAAAAAAAGTCCCTAGCCTTGTAGAGATTATGTTCCCGCGAAAGAGGTACAGAATGAATTCATTTAATCTTCTAACAACTATCTTAGAAATGTCACTTTGAGATAACCATATAAGAGAAAGACGAATCCAAGTAACTTTAACTGAGTCCTTTGACTTTATACCATCAACCTAAAGACAAAATAATCACAAAGAAATCTTGAACTTGTTTGGTAAGATAATGGGATAGTTATTCTGAAATTGGGTAAGTGAATAAACATATTGATGTAGTTGGCAGCCAAGGTTCTTTTTGTGGGAATATGGAATTTGGAATAGGGAAAGGAGAGAAAGAACCTTATGACTGATTGAAATTGGAGGTATCATTTTAAAAATTGCATTTAAAATAGATAAGATTAGGCATTTTCTAGCAATAACCTCCCAGTAGAATGAGCACAACTAGTGTCTAGATACTGATTTCAAAGTAATAGTCCCCACTAAAAGGAACCAGGGCTCCTTGGGAGAAATGGCCAATTCCCAGCTGGAGCAGAGAAAGTACAAGATGAGCCTAGAATAAATTTGTGCCAGAAAGTAAGTGAAGAAAGATGAGGACTTATCAGGACACAAAAACCAGTTTGAAGGGGTTTCCACGGGTCAAAATTAGGGAGACCGAGAGGGCCATGAGGGAACCTTCTGATGTGCTAGAAATGTTCTATTCACCCAGGTGGTGATTATACGAGTGTGTTTAAGTAAAAACATTCACCAAGCTGCACACGTATGATCTGTGCACTTTACTGTATTATACCTCAAAACATTTTATGAAGGATAATGACAGTAATGGATATAACAAATTGAACTAAAAAACAATCTGAGACCATACTAACAGCAAAAATTGTAAATAAATTGGAGAAAAAGACCTTCTTCAGAGTAGAATGCCAACTAATAAAAGTAGAAAGAATGATAAAGGCAAAACATCAGTATTTTGTAAGCCACATAACAACTGACTTGGGTAAAAGAGGCCTTAAAATTATTGGTGAAAATTTGCTGGGCAACAGGATATTAATTACAGATTACTTTTTAATGACAAAGGAAAAAGGTATCTTTACTTTGCAGAAATCTGATAGACACTACCTTAACCAAGTTGCCGATGTTACCATCACCACTAAGAGGGCAAATTGAGATCATATGCCTTTTGATGTGACATACTGAGGACACACAACTTATGCAGTATTTCTGCCAAAAATGCATAACCTGAATCCAATCATAAGAACCCAAACTATGAACTGGCCTCGCCTCAAAAATGTCCTGCAAGACAGGGCCAGCCCTGGTGGCCTAGTGGTTAAGTTTGGCACTCCGCTTCAGCAGCCCAGGTTCAGTTCCCAGGTGCAGACCTACACCACTCGTCAGTGGCCATGCTGTGGTGGCAGCTCACAAACAAAAAGAGGAAGATTGGCGACAGATGTTAGCACAGGGAGAATCTTCCTCAGCAAAAAAGAGGAAGATTGGTAACACATGTTAGCTCAGGGGGGGTCTTGGGCGGGGCGGGGGGGGGGGGGGGGGAGTCATGAGAGACAAAAAAGAAAGGATGAAGACAAACTGAAAATTGAAGGAGACTAAGCAGATACAACAACTAAATGCAATGAGTGTTCTCACACTGGACCCTAAAGCAGAAAAGAAATTGCTATAAAAGACATTATTAGGACAACTAGCAAATTTGAATATGGCCTATATATTAGAGGATAATATGGTATTGATGTTAACTTCTCAGAATTGTATAATTGTAGTGTAGTTATGTGAGAATATCATTGTTCTTAGGAGATAGATCATGAAGTATTTAGGGATGAAGGGCCTTAAACTTACCTTAAATGGTTCAGCAATAACAATATGTATATTTAGAAAGATATAAAGTAAATGTGGTGAAATGTTAAAAATTATTTTAAAATGTTAAAAATTATAAATCTAGGTGAAGAGTATACATGAGTTCATTGTACTATTCTTTTATTGTTCTGTAGGTTTGAAATTTTTTCAAAATAGTTAACAATAGCAAGACCTCATTTAGTCAGTTTCTCTTCCAGTATAGAAACTGAAGCTGATTAATCAAATATTAGCTTTTTTTTAAGGTTTCCGTAAAAATCTCTCTACTGTGTGTTATCCTGATGCTCTGGCAGCACCTCACACCAATTAAATCAGCATCTTTAGGGGTAAAGTCCAGGCAGAAGTACTTCTTAGGGCTGCCCAAGTGGTTCCGTTGTGAAACCAAGGTTGAGAACCAGTGCCCTATGTATGGCTTCTACCCATTGTTGTAATTCTAACCTCTGGGACCAAGAATGGGTTCTCTTCACTTTTTCTTCCTGGAGCACTTTGGAACACTGAAGAAAACCATTATGTGCCTCTCCTTCCCCTTTAATCTTCTCTCTTCAGTGTGCAACAACTCTAATTCCTCTAGGTGTTCTGCTGGTCTCTGAATTGTGGTGAAATAACCAAAAAATTCCATTCGCAGGCCACATGTATTCCAAGAGACACATACAATAAAGTCCACAGCAGCATGAGTCATAGTATCCCCAAAGTGGAAACATCCAAAAAGTCCACCAACAGAAAATGAATAAATTGTAATGTTTTCATATAATGAAATATTATACAGTAATGAAAACTACAGCTACACCAAATATTGATGAATCTCACCATGTTAAGTAAAAGAAACCAGACATAAAAAGAATACATATGATTCCATTTATATAATGTTCAAATGCAGGCAAAATTAAACTGCATCATTGTTAGGAGTCAGTATGGTAGTTACCTGTGGGAAAAAGTGAGGAATAGTGATTGGGAGGGGTATAAAGGAGGCTTTGGAGTGCTGGCAATATTCGATTTCTTGACTGAATGGTGATTTTTCAGATGTTTGCTTTGTGTTAACTTATTAACCTGTGTACTTGTTTTGGTTATTTCCCTGTATGTGTGAAATACTTCACAATTTAAAAAATGTTTAAGGGGCCGGCCCCGTGGCCAAGTGGTTAAGTTCGCGTGCTCTGCTTCAGCAGCCCAGGGTTTTGCCGGTTCAGATCCTGGGCGCAGACATGGCACTGCTCATCTAAGCCATGCTGAGGTGGCACCCCACATGCCACAACTAGAAGGACCCACAACTAAAAATATACGACTATGTACCAGAAGTGGTTTGGGGAGAAAAAGGAAAAGTAAAATCTTTAAAAAAAATGTTTAAAATAATATCATGAGGCCCAAGATAAAGGATATGGAAATTCATTATAATCATACAAATCTCCACATATAGGGTGGTGGGTTGCTCTGATCCAACCCTTTCGCTCTTTTCTCAACTCTGAAACCAAACTGTCTGGGTTCAATTCCAGCTCTGCCACTTACTAGCTGTGTGACCTTGGGTAATCTGTGCCTGTTTCCTCAACTATAAAATGAAAACAATGCTATCTACTACTGACTGACTGTGAGTACTGAGGAGTTAAGAAATATAAAGTGGTTAGAACATAGCCTGGAATACAGCAGGCACTCAATGAATAGTAGCTGCTGCTACTACTCTTCCTCCCTGGCCTCAGGGTCTCTGTTGATATGTAAGGGAGAAGCTGGGGTCTTTCCAAGAAGGAAAACTGTCAGAAGAATGAAAAAAAAAAAAAAAAATCCTTTCCTTCTCTTGGAGGTAAAGGGAGATGCAGACTTTTGCCATCATCAGATGTCCAGTCTGGCTCTCACCAAGGGCCCAGGAAACAGCAGGGGAAGAACAACTAGACAGGAGCTTTTCACCACTAAAAAAGGTTTTTATTACAAAACAAATTCTAATAAAACCAGGCCTGGTCTTCAACCCCACCTCTGGGTAGAGGCCCCTTGGACAGGGTAGGTTGCAGGGAATAGGGGATGGTGGGCACTGAAAGAACAGAGCAGGCTGACCTCCCCTCATCAGTCTCAGCTGCTGCCTCCTTTTAGAAAGGGCTAGAAGAGCTCCTCCAAAGCCCTTTGAGAGGGGCACCATCCTTCCAGCCAGAAGGACCAGTGCTGGTACCGGACCCTAGCAATACCGCATTGCAGGATCCAGGAGGTCTCGGCTGACTCTCAGCAGAGGCCACCCAGGGTCACTCAGCCTGGGCGATGGTGTAGGAGAGCAGCCACAGAAGCAGGGGGCCCAGAACGAGGACAGCAAGCCAGACAGCAAAGCTGGCCAGGATGAACCTCTGGGCCCGGGCCCCCCAGTGCACTGCTTCCTCGGACCGGCCTGCCTTATGCCGCTCTTCAGCCTGTGGGGGCAGGTTTTTGGTTAGGTTCTCCCCCTGCTTCTGCCCCAAAGTGCCCACTGCCCAACTCCAATCCTCCATCCTTGTCACAGCTTAAAACCTCACACCCAAACCCTATACCTCCCTTTCCAGTTTCTATCTCTCATGCCTCACCTGCAAAGAAAGGTACCCACTTGGCTCTGCCTACTTTTCAGGGTGGCCATTGGGAAAGTACTTTTCAATCTTTCTATTCCCCATCCTTTTCTACTCATCCCAGATTCATTCAGAATTTGGAATTCTTGGCAAGAAACTGAGCTATCTTGGAGTATTTTACTCATGCCGAAACAATACCCCATTCTCATTAGCCCAATGGGCCTCATCTTTTTTATTATTAAGGATTCTTATGATTTTGCCCTAATGAATCTCAGAAATTCTTATGACAATAGGAATACAGTTTCTGATTGTTAAAATAAAACTTGGGTTGAGAAAATTCCAGCAGGAAGTTTAAGTTAGCCTGTGTGGCCTTTCAAAAGGTACATGTGAGTTTCTGTTAGGTGTTTTAAAATGGTGAGGTCCTCTCAAAAACCCCATAGCTTCTTCCAGACTCCTACAGATTGCTCTAATCTCTGTTCAGATGCCTCGAGTCTTGCCCCTCCCAATTCGTCCTCCATGTAGGCCTGGAGAACGAATCTTACTGAAACACAAATCTGACCACGTCACTCTCCTCTACAAAAACCCTTAAATGGCTCCCCAGTACTTTCAAGATAAAGTTAAAACTCCTAAGCACAGCACTGGAGGCCCTTGGGAATCTAAGCCCTCTGACATCATCTCTCACTATTCCTCACTGGTCCAGTCATGCTGAATTAGTAGCCCAGGCCTTTGTATACACCGCTCCCTTTACCTGGAAATGTCCTTTCACCCTTATTCACTCATCTTTTAAGGTTACTTTCTTGTTGCCTTTCCTGTTACCTACTCTGCTATACAAACATATGTAACCACACATATATTCTTCCTAGCTCCTAGAAAACCCTATGCTTCCTCTATCATAGTATTGATGAGCTGAGTTCCATTAATAATTGTCCATTTTCACAGCCATTTCTTTCATTAGACTGTGGGCCTTTAGATGGCAGGAACTGTCTTATTCTTATTTCTAGCACCAGGCCCAGAGCCAAGCTCTGGCAAGTACTTAGTAACTGTTTCATCAAGGTAGCTAGATCAAATATATGAAACCATTGCCTTACTACACCCACCTCCCCTGGCTCCCATAGGAATTGCATTCCTCACCTTGATGGCAAACACAAGGGCCACGACTCCCAAGCAAGAGCAGCCACAGATAATGCTAGTAGCTGCCAAGTAGCGGAGGCGGAGCCAGCAGCAGCGGATAGGGGATGGAGAATGAGCAGCTTCCGTGGTGCTCACCAAGATGTCCACTGCCTTCTCCTCGTCCTCCATCACCTGTGGGCGATACAGTCAAGGTACTTGTAAGCCCAGCAACTGAGCCCTTGGCCTGGCTTTCTCAGACTCTACCCCTCTCTCTGATCATAACCTCGTGGCCCAGCCCAACTCTCAGGAACGCTGCCTTACTGGGGAATTCCTCTAGTGACTCATGAACCAAGAGAGGAAATGTGTGGCTGTAATCCTTTTCCCTCAGCCTAAGATTCTGAGTCTTTAAAGGCAAGCCAGTGTGAACATAGCATTATCTGTATTACTTACTGTTTTGACAAGTAAGGAAAAGCAAAATAACAGGTGCATGCTGAGAAGCAGGAGAGCAGCACAGAATCTCAAAAGCTGCTAGGAATCTGAGATTATCCAAGTCAGTGATTTTAAACTGTATTTCAAAGGGCCCTAAAACTCCCTGGAGTTCCTCAGAGGCTGCCCCTAAATATTGAGGGGTCAGAGAATGGCCCTGTACCCCACTGTAAGCAAAGCAACCATTTCATCTGAAAACATGGTTCTGGAGATGGGAGAAAGGAGGGGAAAAGTACCCATCTAAGCTCTCTTGATAGCTGAGGAAAACTGAACATCAGAAAAACAAGGTTTACCTCCCCAAATTGGGACCTCCTTTGCTAAGCTGACTCCCTGCCACCTCCTCTCTTCTTTTTAGCCCAGGCCACACAACAAAATCAGATTAATACCGAGTCCAAATGACCTCATAGCCCACATGGAAATCTGCATAATGATGCTCTACTTAATCATTTCTCATCTCCCTATTTCTCAAGTCCTCTGAGTTCTGGCATGAAACCACCTTTCCAGCCTCATTTCCAACCAATCTCCTACATTGTAGACAAAACAGAACCATTTGCACTTGTCTGAACACAAGTAACAAAGGACAGAAATGGCGAAAAAGAGGCAAGATAAGCAGCAAAGAATGGTATGTGCCACAAAGCTGCCAGAGTGAGTATGAGCAAAGAACTCATATGCTAAGTAAACAGATACATTTATCAGGGGAACACAACACAACAAGAGGATCCAGGGAGCTGAGATCAAAGAAAATGTAAAAAAAACAGGGGCTCTTACCTGGCTATAGGCCTTGAAGGACTCAGTTTTCGCTCCTGCCTCAGGTTTGCTTTGGCTTGGGTGGAGATGGAGCTGAGTCAGGGCTCCAGGCCAAGCCCAGGGGTGGGGTTGGGTGGTCAGCCACCACCTGAAGAGCCCCAGGAGCTCGGAAGGGGTGTGGCTGACTCAAACCAGTTTGGCTAGATGGAGGAAAACAAGGAAGGGGAAAGGATGGAGCAACTGGAGGTAGGATATCTGCCTTCTGGAAAAGGAATGAAAGCGCCTGAGCAAGAGGGCTAACAGCGGGGAAAAGTCTTGAGGCATCAGAGAGCTCTGAGACAAAGTCAGAGAACTAAGAGAATAGAAAGGAAGACAGGAAAAGTACGAGTCTGAGGGACTTAAAACTGAAACTTTAGGGAAAGGCACCCTAAGAGGACTTGCCAATCTTCCCTCTCCTTGGGTTGAGATTTGTGCCTCAAAGATACATATTTCTGGGTTAGAGATCAGGTACCAGGGTCTTGGCAACAGCAAGAGACAGGAGAAAAATGATGCCCAACTTCCCATCCAACCCTCCACCAGACCAGAAAATCAGAAGCCTCCTTACGCGGATGCTCATACAGAAACTAAGTTTATTATTTTTTCTTCTTAAAAAAAAAAAGAAAAAAAAACTCATTTAGCGAAGCCCCTCTCCCTTCCCCTAAGGGTTGGGGGCTGTGAAAGATAGCTGGGGAATCAAGTACAAGGGGGTGGGGACAGAGACTATCTTGCCACCCTTAACACTGCCCAGCCATGTGGGGTGGAAGGGAAGGGGATATGTGAAGAGCCCCATTTTCATGACAACCAGTTGCCTACCCCCTACTTTGGTGGAAAGAAGGGAGAAGGCCCCTATGTCTCCCTGGAGGCTTTCCTCCTCAAAAGACTTCAAGTAGTGGTTAACAGAGTCAGGCCTGGTTGTAGAGGGAGAGGGGCCATGGTAGAAAGCCCAGGTGGAGGGGTAGCCCATTCACGTCTTGGCCTTGCGGCCTCTGTGACTAATGGTAGGGCCAGCCAGGTGGGGAGGGGCACTGCTGCGCAGGATTCGCTGGTCCCCTTGGTTGGTAGCCCCACCAAGCCGGCGAGGGGCAGGTCGGCGGCGTAGGGTCCCATCCTCTTCCTCTTCCTCACCTGAGACTTCGGCCTCAGACTCCTCTACTGAACCCTCAGGCCCCAGGGGACTTGGGGGCTGTAGGCGGCCACGCTTTGCCAAGGCAGGACCCCCACCAACTGGGGCCCCTGCCCGTTTGCGAGGCACCTTCTCAGTCTCTAGCGGGGGGACTAGAGACCCTGGACGCAGCCGGGTTGAGCGCAATTTTGGAGCTAATGAGACCATGGGAGCTGTCAATTCTAACCCACCAGGCCCACTATCTAGATCCAGGTCATCCTGAATTACAGCCACCACCATGGACCCTTCACTCTTTCGTCCCCGCATTCCCTCTGCTTCAAGCCGCAAGCGGGCAAGGCGGGTGAGGGGGCGGCTTCCATCCTCATCAGAGGAACTACCCTCACTCTCCCCTTGAACCTGGGGTTGCCGCCGCCTCCCCAAGCCACAGCTCTCAAGGATAGAAGAGCTATCACGGTCCAAGACAGGCAGTTGACTGGGCCGAGGTGATGGTGGATTCTTGGGAGGTCGGCCCCGCTTCCGCTTGGGGGGGGATGTTGAAATGGTGAGAGTAGAGACAGTGTTGGCGACAGTAGCAGTGGGACAGGCTAGGAGTGGTGGAAGTGGTGGCAGGGGTGGTGGTAGTGGGAGTGGCTGTGTCCGGCTCTCTAAGTTGCCATCCCCTGGAGAGGAAATGGTCCCAGGAATGGGCAAATCTCGTGCCTTAGGGGGTCGCCCACGCCTTCTTTTCTCCACAGGTGACAGGATGGGCTCGGGTCTATGAATTGGCTGGGGTCCAAGAGGTTGGGGCCCAGGAATAACCTGGGGTCCCAGAACAGGCTCCGCAACAATAAGGGTTTCAGCCCCAGGGTCTGGGTCAGCCCCATTGGTTTTTCCCTTAGAGATGGATGAAGGCACCTCATCCACCCCGCGCCCAGCATCTGCTGGAGACCTGTTCTTCTTGGGGGGCCTCCCCCTCCGACGTTTCACAGCAGGAGGTGTGATGGCAAGCAATGCCCCTTCTCCATTCTCTGGGCTGCCCCCACCAGTCACCCCCAGCTCAATGCGACGGCGAGCTATGAAGGGCTGCTGAGTTGGGGTGGACAGTGAGGATGGGGGAGCAGCTTCACAGGGACCACTGGTGGAAGGTGAGGATTCCGGCCCTGACATGCTGCGGGTAGATGGGCTTCCCGGGCTGGCACCAGTCTCAGAGACCCCAGGCACTAGGGTGCTGGCAGTTCCCCGCTGCTGTCGCCGTCGCCTCACCAGTTCCTTTTCCTCTACAACAGTCACTAGCCGTCCTGGCAGCTTGCGAAGCACTTTGGGGCCTGGAGGCTGTCCTGGCCGACCAGCCCCCTGACCCCTAATTTCTACATCGGCACTGGTGCGACGCCGAGGGGGCCGGACAGGTGAAGAACCCTCAGGTGAGGAGGTGGCCGAGGATGAGGTTGATGGGGCTGCCACCTCAGCTGAAACACGTTCCTGTGGCTTCTCAGGGCTGGAGGTTGCGGTCTGGGACTCCACCAGCTCTTCTGAGTTCTTGTCAGCTTCCAACGGCTCCTGAAGCAGCTCATCAGATGCCACTGAGGGTGGGAGCTCCAGCCCATTGCTCTCACTCAGACACATAGGCACCTCCTCACCATCAGGCAGCACTGTGAGGATGGTCCCCTCGGCAGGCTCTGGCACCTCTTGCTCTTGACCGTTGGGGACACTGCCAGCCTCCAGAGTTGGGCTAGGTGCAGTAGAGGTGAGAGAAATGTTCTTCTCTGACATAGGCAGGATCTCAACAGCAACTGGCAACAGATCCTTAGCGGGCACAAGAGTAAGCGTCTCAGAACTGGCCATATCAGCCAGCTCCAGGGACTCAGTAGATGCCAATGTTTGTGCACACAGCTCTGCCTCAGGCTCCAAGCCCAAAGGGAGGTTGGTGACTGGCGGGGAGACGGGCACAGAAGGTAAACCAAGCAGGAGAGGGGAGGAAGGAGTTAAGAGAGAGGTTTGGGCTGGAGGTGGGGTATGAGCTGGTGGAGGGGTACAGGCAGGAGGAGGGGTACAGGCAGAAGAACAAGAGGGAGGAATCTGAGAAGGAAGAAGTGGGGGAGAAGGCAAGATATGGACAGGAAGCATGGTTATTGGATTTGGGGCTGAAATGGGGATTGGGGCAGGGATTGTAGCAGGAGCTGAGGCTGGAGTGGGTCGAGGCCTAGGAACTGGCCGGGGAACTCGCTCCCTGGCAGGACTGCAGCGGGGAGGTGTGGAGGTGCTGCGGGTGTGATGGGTGGATGTGACAGGAGTGTGGTTTGCCCCTTGAGTCTCAGCCCGGGCTCCACGTAGACGCTCACTGACGCGAGTCCCTGGCCTTTCAGGGGCCTTGGCTTTCTTACTGCGCCGGTGGCTGCCTCCACTAGTCCCAGAGGAAACCTCATCCCCAACCCCTGGCCCCTCCTCCTCCTCTTGGGGTAGGCGGAACACCTCCTCCTTGGCTTGGTCCAGGTCCTTGCGGGCAGCTTCCACTTGCTCCTACCAACAACAGAGCCCAAAGGGTGGTCAGAGGGAGGCAGGCAGGGTGGGGAGTAGGTACAAAGGAGCAGCTTCCCACTTGCATCCCTACCCTAGAAATACTCACTTCTGCCTGCTTGAGTTCCTCTCGGCTCACCTCCTCCAGTGAGGCTTCCAGGAATTTCATGGCATAACGCTCAATGGGGGTCAGCTGTGGGGAGGAGCAGTGGTAATGAACATACGGAGCTGGTGCCCAAGGCCCATCACCCTTGATTACATTCACCAGGGAAAATAAAACGAGGGTCATGGAGTCTAGAGGAAGGAGTTGCGCAGGGTGAGGTTAGAACTAGTGGGTCCAACACTGACCTGTTCTACAAGGGCAGCAATTTCCTGCTCAGCCCGGGACATTTCCTCATCCTCAGCCCCAGGCCGACCAGCCTCCTCTCCATCACCAGCAGGAAACACATCATTCTCATTGAATTCTGCAAGCTCAGCCACCTGTTCAGCCTTGGCCTGGGTGGCCGCACGGATATCCTCTTCATCCTCTGCCCGACACAATGCCTGCAAGGGTGTGGGTAAAAAAACCATGAAAATTAAAGAACTTTACATCTTATGACTTGATTCCAGCAAAAATCTGAGGCTAAGTTTATACCAAACCAGGTTTACAACAGAACTCAATTCTCTTCTGCGCCCTCAAAGCTACCAAAGCAACTCAGCGGTCCACATAGGATGGAATGGATTTGACTAGGATTCCCACAAGGGAGAAAATAACTGTTTTAGACCCCTAGCTCTACTGCCTTTCTGTTCGAGTTAGCCTTTAGATCTCTTTAGAAAAGCAGTCCCAGAAAGTTCTGAATACAAAAAAATCCCTAAGTCTTTTCTGCACTGAGACGACTCATGACAGACTAACCACATCTGATCTTTCCCTTGAGATGAATGTCCAGAGAGCTCACACCAAAGTCACTGGGTTCCAGAAGTAGCCTAGAGCATGCTCAGCCAAGAGGGAATGGCACTTGGTCGAGAAAAACATCCCCGTGATACTCTACACCTGTAGTTCCTAAACATCTGTCTACTTCTGAAAAAATACAATGCCTAAACCTCACCCTCCAAAATCATGATTTAGTTAACAGGGAGCTCAGGAATGAATCCTTTTAAAAGCTTTCCAAGTGATTCTATTATGCATCAACATTTGGAAAATACGAGTTTTTCACCATGTACAAAGCACTTCTTACATCCTACGCCATTTAATCCTCAGTTACTTCTTTGTCATTAGCATTTCAGAAAAGTGGAAAAGAGGCTCAGAAGATTAAACAGACTTGGTTTAACAAACACAATTATCAAGAAGCACTGTTGGAATTTAAACCTAGAACTGAGGACTCCTAATCCTGTCTTTTTTCTATGAAACCATGTGAACAAATAAACAACCTAATCACAACTACCAAAGGCCAACTGTAATCTGGGAAACAGCTCTTTCCCCCTGGACAAGCTCAACAGACTGAGACAATACACACTGTGACCATTAGCTCTATGGATAGCCCATTCTTTTATCACCTGCTCCAAGATATGGGTCTGCTTGCTAGCCACAGTCTCTTCCTCCTCTTCAGGGGCAGAGGGTAGAGATGAGCCAGATGGCTCCTCCAGGGGCATATCAAACAGCTCTCGGATGGTCTGCTTTGGAGAGAACAGAGAGAAAAGTGTCAGAGCCAATGGAATGCCGGTCTGAAGTCTACAGCTATGAGGCTGACAGCTCTTAGAAGTATCAGAAGCACCAGTGGTTGAAAGGGCAGGTCTGTGGAGGCCAAAGCACCCTCTTTAATAAGAGTGACTCCTACAGGCATAAGAGCTCACTCCTGCACAGGCTGGAAGATCTTAGTACCTGTTTA